GGAGCAGAGATCACCCACAAGAAAAAAAAAAAAAAAAAAAAAAAAAACCCAAAAAACAAAAAACTCATAGGCAAGTGATTATGAAAGGATGATTTTAAGTACTTTTTAAATATTTTGCTGCGTAACTTTTTCAATTTCATATTTGAAAATACTAATATTGGACATTTAAACTTACCAGATCATTTTTATGTTATTATTCATAAAAATCAGATTTTCATTTTATTTGAAGTGGACTTTCTTGTCACATAAAGCGTTCAAGCAATACTTCTAACTGCATCATTTAACATATAGATATGTCTGTGTGCATCTACATTTTCAAAAGCATTTTTTCAAAATATTTTTTAACACATCATAGTAAAACTTCATGATTTTTCATTGTGGATAATTCATACACACATACACATTTTAAAAGAATAGTATCTTCTTATGAAAGTCATACATAATAACGGAAAGTCATACATAATACACAATATCTATGTCTGTCTGAGCCCACTTAGTGTTCACCTCTGCTTGTAATATACAGAGATAGCTGATAACAATTTGGTGTCTAAATTTTTAAATCTTTTGCTCTCCTTGTCTTTTATACAGGTTACGATAATAAATAATTCACATATATATGTACATATACATATATATACAGTTTTAAAAATTTAGTTTATAAACTCTAGTACCGTATTTAACAGTAACATGTTGTATAATTACAAATTTCGTACCTGTTTATATGATTTTATTATATTAACATGCAAGCCCTTATTTTTTGTGGAGGGGCAGTATTCTACAGATAGATAGATTGTAACGTTAATTTATCACTTGTTACTGTGTGTTCACAATTTTTTTCAGGCCTTCACAATTATCAAACAATTTTGCACTACATGTATTTATGTGCATGTCTTTGCCCGCTAACTTATTTTGGGAAGGCAATCCTGGAAAGTAGAATTTCATGTTTAAGAAGTAGAGAAATTTTACATCATTTTGTTACAATACCAAGATCAACAAAATATTGGATTTTTAAAAGTAAGTGACTGAGAATGGACCATGAGCCTCCAGTTTGAGGAAAGAGAGTATTTTGAGCTTTTTATGAGATCCAGGAGGCTCACATTTGGTTTCTCTTAGTGTTTAACTTATTCCAAATATTCCCATTTGGATTATCATGGTCTTTCCCTTAAAATTTCTAAGTGCTCAATTTAAATGCATTACAGAAAAGCCAGTGAGACAAGTTTTGACAAAAATGTCATTCTTCAAGTAGAAATTCTAAAGTTGATGGAATTTGAGGGAATTTGTATGTGTACATGTCATAAAACATACAAGCCATTTCCAGCATAACTTAAATGAACCCTGGTATTCATGAAGCAAGACACTTATGAAATGGTTCATGAAACAAGCAATTATATTTTCTTAATTTACTTAATAATTTACCTTATATCAAAATAATTTGAGATAACTTTAATAATAGCTTAATACATAGCAGTTTATCATTTGGTGAAACACAAACATGTACAAAATTCTGTTGTAAATGTTGTTTGTCTACAAAATCTGATTGTCCTATTACCCTCTTACTTAAATTTTATTAGAGTGAAAATGCTGTGAAATTTGATTATATTTGATTTGATTTCAAGTACAAGATGACTGAATTTTTAATCATACTCAAATTACAAGCTCAAATCCAAGCACTAAAATGTCTTCTGTAATAATATGTTCAACACACAGAGAATGTGAATCCTAGAGGTTCCTAGATAAATTTGCCTTCTAAATCTATAGCCAGAATTTACCAATGTGTATTTTTGGAAATGCTTAGACAGTTTCAACAAGCAATGAATATATAATACTTTGGGGGACAAGGGTCCTGTAATCAGATGATTGTTCTTCATGGCAGGGTTGTCGGGCCCCTGGGTATGCATGTTTTCAGCTGTGGCGAAGGAGAGGAAACTGAACAAAGTCTGCCCCTCATCACTCTCACTTGCCCGCCTTTTGTAGAGAATACCACAGGACCGCAGCTCAGAGGGAGCTCAGTAATTATATGGTCCGCTCCCTGACCTGCTTATGTGCATTTCTCTACCTTCTTCTCTATTCCCAGGAGTAGAAAAGGCTGTGTTGGATGAAACCGAAAGTACTATTTCTGTCTTTTTCTTACACAGACAAAAAGATCAGCAAAGAAAAATCCACTTGCTAGTGAAGAATTCTCTGAAATGGGTTTATCAATAGCAGAATTCCCTCTCTACAGACATTCTTTTCTCTGAAGTGCTTTCCTGATGGAAGTACTATGGGTTACACAGATATAGAAAAGGAATAGAAGACTCATATGAGCCAAACAATTGTGAAAGGAGGCTTGTGTGTCCCATGGATTAACCTGATTGGAAGAGTTTAAAGTTAGAAATTAAGATTGTATTTAGCAGGTGTGGCACCGCACACCTGTAATCCTGTCGCGGAAAGGCTGAGACAGGACTATTGCAAGTTGGACCCCATCTTGGGCAACTGAATGACATATCAAGACCCTGCAGCTGCCTTTAGGCAGAGTTGTGCCAGTCACAGTTTCATGTGGTCACAGAGTGTACAGTATCTGCTGTTGAACCTTTACAGGAAAAATGTGCCCTGCCTGTGTCCCATTACTGCTGAGGGACCACACAGCGCCTAATGCGTCTGCTGTGAGATGCTGCACCCGGCAAGCAGTCTGGATGTTAGAGTGTGTACGTGCATCTGTGCATGTGTGTTCACACCTGTCACTCTTCATTTTTAACATACAGCGTTGCTGGTAGCAACCTGAAACTTTGTTTTGATAAATGTCTAAAACACTGAGTTTAGCTAATATTCTTTCAGTACATGTACTTCTTTGATGCTGGGATAGGTTTTTTTCCCTTTGCCATTGGAAAAAATAAATACTTTTACCTGGGACTATCTCTTGAGATGCAAACAATTCCAAAATTGTAGTTTACTAGACTAATAGATGCTTCACTTGATTGTATTTCACATGTGTATCATAGAGACACCTGGTTTTATATACTGACCAATTTATATTAGCATATTAATGTTCTATGCCATACATTTAACATGTAGTCATCTCATCAAATTGTTTTTAAAATATGACTGTTTTAACACTTTACTCTTTTTGAATAGTTGATTTAAAAGTACTAGCATATTTAGAGGTCATAAAATGTACAATCTCTATATTACTTTTATCCAAGATTTCCTTATTCCTTTTTGAAATGTCTGCTTCTCTTCATCTCATTGGATCAATTTTCACTTAAAATGTGTTGCTGCCTGACATGCAGTGAGAGTTTTTTCTGGGTAGAGAGTCATACTTTAAAAATCAAAATGTTAAAAATTGAAACACTGGCTCAGGAGAGAATACTGTAACTTCTAATTATGCTGGTACATTTTCAATCCCCTTTTTCTTTATGCTGTTTTTAAAATCAGGTAAGTTTTTAAATACTTACACTTTAATAGGCACACTTCTGTCTAGATATGTTTACTTCAGCTTTAAGTTATGATCGTAAGCAAGGATGTGCATGTGAATGTTTATATTTCTCCCTGTGCACACAGTGCTTTGGAATGGATGTGATATTCTATTTTGGATACCCATTTGAGCCCACTATGCTTACTCTTCCAAGTGGATGAATATGTAGCATATGACTGAAATTTTTCTTGCTTAGTAAAAGTCATAAATATACTTTGAAATGACATTTTCATATTTGCTAGGACTAACTTGATTTAGTTCTTGTCCCACAGAGACCTTCCTGATATCAGTAGCGGATCTGTTTTGAGGTAGCACCGGCTACAGAGAACACTGATCTCATTGTATTTTGGGCTTGCCATGTCACCTTTGCACCTCCTTACCGTCTAACTTCACTTTTCTGAATTGATTTCAGTAATGCTTTGTACCTTTATTGGCATGATACATTCTCAGGAATATTGTTCCCAGAGCCCCTTTCTTGATCTTAGTTCTAGAAAAATCAGATTCAAAAGTTCCTGACACCTATGCTGAATTAGCATAAAGCAAGGCCTAATTTTATTACATATATCTTTTTTGAGACAGGTCTTGCTGTACAATCCAAGCAATCCTCCTGCCTCAGCTTCCTGAGGGCTGGGATTTTAGGCTTTTGCCACAAAAGCCTGGCTTGTGACAGTTCTAAAATTGCATTTGAAACCAGTAAGACTTACACCTTTATTACATAAATAAAACAAATCATAATGAATTACAAACCAAAGTTCTTATCTTATCATCGTCACAATTCTGTGTTATCAGATTTATTCTCCTGGACATAGATGTACCAGAAAGTGTTTTCTCTCTGGTTTAGAAAATTTGTTGTCCTCTCTTTAAATTCACTTAAATTTTGTTCAGATTAAAATTATTTACACAAAAGTAATGTTGCCTTTATTTACCAAATTGCACTCTACGTCAATCTAAAAAATAATGACATTTAATCTGTATGTAATACTTTAGTGAAAGTAATGTGCAGCCTAGCATTTCTTCTGTTATACATCCTGTAAGTAGGACTCAGAAATAAGGACTGAACATTAATTTTCTGGGTTTTTTTCTACTCGATAGGTGCTATGGATATAGAGGAGAGAAACCGCCAAATGAAAATTAACAAATACAAACAGGTAGCCGGATCAGATCCCAGACTGGAACAAGATTACCATTCGAAGGCAAGACATTTTTCTTTTTAAAGTTGTAAAATAATCAATCCTATGAAATTGTTAGTTTTTTTAGCTATGAATGCAGATTAGTCAGATGAAACATATAATGCAATGACCCCATGATACTATTCTGTGCTAAGTTTTATACTGTGTTCATATCACCCCTCTGAGGGATAGACTTCGGCTTATTAAAGAAAATAACCCTCACGTTATTACTTAACCTTGGGGATTACTGATCTGATGACAAGTCTTTTAGGAATTTCTGATTTTATAAAATGTATAACACCTCAACAATATTTAGGAAGAATTTCTATCGTGACTTTCTTACAACTTTGCTTTCCATTTAACAGTATTTTAGTTGAATCTGGTTTATTACTGAATTCCTGAGGCAGATCCCTACTCTCAAGGTGGTTTTAGGATTCAGAAGGTTTTCGGTAAGAACTTTCTGAACTGTCTTTTGGGGTAAGATAGGGTTTGAGTCCCATCAAGAGGGGAAAATATTATTTCACTGCTCTTCTCTTCATTTATATTTTCAAGACCTGTTCGGGTTCCGGTGCCGTTGTGTACCATGAGATTATGTATGAGTCCTGCATGTTACATTTGCAGTGATGTTATCAGTGGAGAAAGAGCGTCAAGAGAAAATAAAGTCAGGACAAACAAGACAAAACCAGGCTCTGCGAGCGCAGCTCAGCCCTGAGCATGTGCTTAGCATGAGGGAAGAACCCCCGTCCAGTCCCAGGGACCAACCCATGGCCCTGCCAAAAACGCTCAAAAACCAGAGCAACTCCAGACAGGAAGCTTGCAGACAGAATGGTGCGGTCGGCGCCTCTGTGTCCTTGCCACTCTCAGGGCATCCACTTCAGCTGGAGCTCCCTAACCAGCAGCAGAGGCAGAAGGGGAGACCTGACCGGGGTTCGTGCGATAGTAACGAGTTCTGCAGCGAACAGCAGTCTTGCACTTGTTACGGACATCTGATGCTGTACGCTTGCTAGAACTGCTGTTCCAAGTTTCCAAAATAAGTTTTGCTTCCACTCCAATGTACAGGTAATTGAATGACTAAAGCCTCAGAGTTTTTAACTGTGACACCAGTCAAAGTACGGATAATACTAAGCAATATGATCTCCTAAGCATCTTCAAAAGCAATGGTTTTCAAAGTGTAGTCTCCGAGCAGCAGCACCGGCAGGTACCTGGAGTGTTTCGGAGGACAGTCCCTGGGCTCTCGCTAGCCTGCATCCTGTGTCGCTGTCTTTCCACTCCAGCTTCCTCTGTTAGGTTTTTAGCTAGAAGCCAGAGATGAATAATGTTAGTAAAGTATACTTTACTTTGAGAATAAATCATCTGATGTCCTTATAAGAACAGATGCTGTCAGTGCATAACAAAAGCATGCCATTCTGCTTAGTCTTGCTAGGCCCGTGTAATACAGTGAAGTCATTGATAGAACTCTTCAGACAGGTCCCAGTGCGATCCTGTTTTGTACCGCTGCAAAGTGTGTTATTGACTTCCTTATTTTGATGTTTAAAAATGCCAGTTACAGAGCCTGCTACTGAGCCATGTATTCTAATACTGTGGGTAAAAATCTCAAAAAAAAAAAAAAAGTTGACAGGGGAACTGTTAGAAACCAGCTTGTGAGGCAGATCTGGTGGGCGCCTGTACTCCCAGCACTCTGGAAGGCTGAGTGGGAGAATCTGAGTTCAGACTTACCCAGGGCAGTTTAGCAGCTCAGTGAGATCCTGTCTCAAAATTAAAATACGTTTTTGAAGAGGTCGGAAGGAGGCTGGAGATGTAGCTCAAGGTAAAAGCTCAGAGACCAGCCCAGTTCCGCCGCAGGCATGGGGCAGGGGACCGAGCAGTGCACAGCCTGGGGCGAGGCTTCCGTTCCCGCGGCTCCGGTGAGGGCGGGGGAGAAGGTGCATGCAGACGGTTAGCACTGGGCCCTGGCTCAGGCGATGCCAGTCCTGTCTGCAGTAACAGCGTGGTCACGGTCACCGAGGCGCCGGAAGCGAAGATGAGGGGCCAAAATGAGCTGGCAAAGAAATAAGTGACTGAAAAGGACTTTACTACAGTTTAAATGTCTTCGAGTGTTTCCTTTATTCTCTGATACACAGATTCAGAAGCAGAAAACTAACAGGAAAATCAGACGAGGAGGAAGCAATTTATAAATGTTGATGTGATATGGAATTAAAGTAAGAAAAAGACTATAACACAATATTTGATGAAAATTACAAACAAAATTGCTGAAATTAAAAACTTACTATCACGGTCAACATAAAGTGTGATTGGTTCGTTGAGTAATTGGGAGACGCATGTAGGAGTATAGTATTTAAAATGAAATTTTTAATAGTGATGACAGGAGTAGTCCTGGAAAATGAAATTCTATATTTATAGAAAGCAAATTTTATGTAGATTAGATGGCCCTATTCAAATCGCCAAGAAGATAGATACACACACGAAAGCGCATGCATTTGGATACGATGTAGAAATGAAATGAGTTAGATTTAATTTTGTAGCAGCAATGAAAGAGAATGCTTGGGAAAACCGTTTCCGAGGCAGGAAGGCTGTGTTGGGTGTGGTGTGCAGCAGCCCATAACAGACCACTTGGCCCGGCCTGGTTCCTGCCCGAGGAAGAGCTGCTGTGAGAGCCCCTAGAGAGCCTGGTATCCATGGAAACAGGCTTTTCTCCTCACGTCAGTGGGCATCACCTGATACCTAAAGCGAGGCCGTCCCACAGGCGTGGTGTCGGAGCCCCACCTCTGCCTGGCAGAGTCCTCAAGGAGCCCCCCTGGATGCAGAGGAAGTAGAACACTGTCCTTGAAGACAGAGTCCCAGCAGTAGCAGCAGGGTACAACATGGCTCTAGAAGTACAAGAGAGGCCCCACCTCTGCCTGGCAGAGTCCTCAAGGAGCCCCCCTGGATGCAGAGGAAGTAGAACACAGTGTCCTTGAAGACAGAGTCCCAGCAGTAGCAGCAGGGTACAACATGGCTCTAGAAGTACAAGAGACATGAGTGGTGCCCAACAGTTCTATGCATATTTAATTTTTATTTCTAAGTACAATTGTACAGATGTGCTTTACATTTATTATGCTGATTTAGAACTTTCACACAGGTGATACGTGATATGTATAATAACTACAGGGACAGCCACATTCATAACTGAACTTCTCAAGTCTTAATGTGTAGTAATAAAGACATGGGCAGTTTTGCATATCACTCTTCATTTTACTTTTAGTGATTATGGATAAATACAAACTGTTGACAGTGTAGACTATAAAACCAAGCTATCTGAATTCAAATCTTAACCTCCAGCGTTATCTGCATGACCGTAAGTTATTTAATATTCTGTGCCTTGGTGTCTTATTCTTTTAAATTTATTGATAGCAGTACCTGCCTTGCAGGATTGATTTAGTGATGAAGTATAGTGTATAACTCTTGGGACACAGCTCGGTATGTGGTAAGAAGTCAAGTCGGCTGTGATGTGATGACGGTGGTGGTGATGACGATGTGATGGTGGAAAAACTGGAAGAAACAGAAAAGTAACAAACTCAATAAAAAGAAGCAAAACAATACTGCTTTAGTTACTGGTAGTAACCTTAAAATTTCATATGATACATATTTGTTCATGTTATAATCAATTGTGCTTTGCCTGTATTAAAGTGTGAGTTTGGAAGACCTTTAGCTGCTCTGCAGAGAAGCTTCCTAGGTGGACTGAGGTCTTCCCAGGAGGATGTGCTGACACCATGCCCAGGAGTGTGCCTGTGTGGGCAGAGCCCTTGCGGAAGTGACTGGGACAGAGTGAGGTGTCAAAGTGGCCCCAGACACAGGATGGGCGTCCTTGTGGGCAGAGACACAAACAGAAAGAGCAGCAGGGCCCTCACTGAGACAGCAGCCATCTGCAAGCCCAGGAAGGCCTTTGGAGGAAGCTGCCCTATTGTATCTTGGTCTTGAGTTTCTAGACTTCAGTAACTGAGAAAATGCATCTCTACTGTTGAAGCCACCAGTTTGTATTTTGTTATTGGAACTCTAGCAAACTAATATGAAAGGTTAAGGAAAAAGTTATAAACTTTCAAAACCGAAGTTTAATCATAATTAAAAGTACAGAATCTCTAACATGTTATGAACATTATTTACCAGTTTTTAACTGTAGCTCTTTTGTATACATTCGTATGAGGCAAGAGAAAAATGAAAAGTAGTTGTTTCCCTCATCTAAAACATAAAGGACAGAAATTATCCGGCTCAGCTTTATGGTGTGTGTGTGTGTGTGTGTGTGTGTGTGTGTGTGTGTGCACGTGTGTGTCTGTACAAGCAGAGTTATTTGAATGAAAGCTGAAGTTCACCCAGCTTGTTAAACAATGTAAATGGTGAGATAACAGTTTGAGCAGATGACTAGATTAGACTAGACTAGCAAAAATAAGACAACCTGTATCAATTTTTAGGCTTTTAGAAATACGTATTTTCCCTACTTTTCCTCCCCTTCCTCCCATTTACTTTTAAGGCCATCTTATGGGTAGGATTGCATGGACAGGTACACACCTGCCCTCACTGATCTAGCATGTATATGTGTTTATGTCATCCGTTGGAGAGAGGACTTGTTTGTCTTCTTCCCCCGCCACCATCACATCGTCCCTTCGCTTCTGTGTGTGCGCATGTATGTGTGGGTAAACATGGGCGTGTGTTGAGGGAAAGCTGAAATAGAAATAGTAAGAGCAGAATCGTTTGGGAAGGGTTTGGAGATGGCGAACTGTAGGCATTGCACCACTGTGAGGATACTCGGGGGAAAGGATGGGTGGGTGATCCTGTAAGAGTCGAAAGCAAATTTTCTAATGCGCCCATAGTTACTGATTTCCATCTATAGTCAGTCAGAATAGAAAGAATACTGAAAATGAACAGGACTGTATTCTAATTTTGTTTCTCCTACTTACTTGATAAGATTTTTGGTAAGCTGTTTAATAGTTCTTTACAGCCCAGTTGTTTTGTTTTTTTTTCAGTCTACAAATTGTAGGAATCTTGTAAAG